CCCGGGAGCGGGGGGCTGGCTCCCCCCAGCGCCGCCTGCCTGCTGCTCCTCTCCTCCCTGCTCCCCAGCCTCAGGGGTAAGTTGGCTCCCGGGCCCGGCGGGTTGTTTCGAGTTGCAAACTGAGGAGTTTTCGTTGCGGGGTTGCGAATGGGAACAGGCAGCGCTGTGGGGCGTGCGGCGTGGGGTGGGGCGAGGGAAGTGACTAATTGTGGGGGTCCTGGCAAGCACCAAATTCGGGGGGCCACAGTTCTGGATTTGGTCCCCTCTCCGCCTTTCTTAGAGGGGAACCCCCCCCCCCCTTCCTGGGGCTGCCTCTTGCAGGACAAAAGGCTCCTTGAAAACACTTTGTGGTTTGAAGGTTGTAAATAACCTGTTGTTTTGAATTCCATTGCCTTGGTCCTGGGGCTTTCTCCAGTCCAGAGCCTTTCGACTCAAAAGCTCTGTCCAAGCGCTGTCTCTCTCAGAGCTCCCTTCGCCCACCACTGAGGGGGCAGCCACCGCAGATTGGGGGCATTTATCCAGAAGAGATCTATGTAGTAGGTCCCCCCCTCCCCGCCTTGCGAGCCAAGGACTGTTCATGTCGGGGAGAGGTGTTTTGAATGCCTGGGTTGGCTCTGTCATAAGTGGCTTTTGATAAAGGAGTTGAATTAGTTTCATGGAGAATTGTATCTGGTGTAAGGCTGATGATGCAGTGCAGAGTTACTCTGAAACACCTTCAGAAATGCACCGGGAAAGGGAGAGATCTCACCAAGTGCATGCACGTGCATCATCCTTTTACAGTCCATAGTTCCCCTAGTTAAGCCAAACAATGAAAGCATGAGTTTGTTTTACCTGTGCTTCAGAAAACAGCCAACTCCATCAAATTTGGGGGCAGGTTGTTACATTTTATTTTTGTAAATGGTGTCAGGGTGCTCAAGGGTTTTTGGATAGGTGTCCCTTTTTACTATCAATCCGAATGGGGGGGAAAAATCCCAGAGACCACATAACCAAAAATAAAAGTACAGAGCATGAAAGTCAAGTTAGTCCCAATTAAATAGAGCAGTTAACCAGTGCAAAGATTCTCTTGATTTTTCTTCTGTTTTGTTTGTGTTTTATATTCCAAAATGTTTACTGTTTATCATATATTTTTTCAGTTTCCAAAAATCACAGTGGTAAATAACAACCACCTGTGCCTTGTTGTTCAAAACCTCTGTAGCTTTAAGAAATCACACTTGAAGTGTGTTGTCTTCAGCTAAGCCCTGGAAACCTCATGTGATCAGCTTACCCTTCTGTTACTAGATCTCTGGACGTGTCTACACTACATAACTAATTTTTAAGTAATAACTCCCAAAATAACTATTTTGAAATAGTGTGTCTGCATTACAGGGCAGCCTTGAAATTAGTCCGAAGCCAGCTCCCCTAATGGAGATGTGCTACCTTGACTTAGAGCCTAAGGAAGCACTGGGGAGTAATTACTTTGAATGACTCTGGGGAGTAGTTATTTTGAAATAGCAGCAGTGGAGTGTCCACATTATTGCTATTTTGAAATACACGTTATACCCCGAGGAAAGCAGGAGTTATTTCGAAGTAACCAGCCCCTTATTTCAAAATAACAGGCTTTGTAGAGTGGACGGCTTTGTGTAGTGTAGTTTGGCTTTGTAGTGTAGTGTTTCATGTGTTACTCTGAAATAACAGTGTTGACCAGGGCTCTGTATTCAGGTGCAGCAAAAATTGTCACAATAGCACAAGAAGTAGTTATCTGAACAGGCCTGTTATTTTTCTCTAAGTGCCCTGAGAGACTAATAGAGAGCATGCCAAGAGTCATATTGACTAGAGAGCAATTTTTATGAAGGGCTTTAATTTCCAATAGTTTCTAAACAATTTTTGTGTTTTGCTCCATAGTGCAAAGAACTTGCATGTTGTTGCTCATTGGCAAATATCTAGGTCCTCATGGGGTTTTTTTCATTTTAATGCCTTACATTCAGAATTGGTAGAGATTTGCTATTATTGAATGTGGTCTAGAGACCACATCCCTGGATGTGGACCACCTTAAACTTTGTGGATCAGTATTTTACAACTCAAACCATTCTCTACTTGGCATGAAAAGGAATAATGTTGATTATAATCAACTTCAACTGAAGAAATATTCCTTCCTGGAATTTTGGTTAGGCTTCCCTGAGTGTTTGGGTTACAGGCCTTCAGTGATCTAGATGGAGAATAACAGTATTAATAAAAACCATAAACTTGTTTTATTATATGTTGATATCTAGGCTGCCTTTCCTTATATTGCTCCTGGCTCAGGTTCAGGCCTAATGTGAAGATTGCACTTATTCTAGAGAGCTGTCATTGTTCTCCTCAGCAGGGATGCTTTTATGGCTCCTGGACACCTATTAAAACAGCTCTGATAATACTGGAAATGGCATTCTCTCTGTTAGTGTAGTACTGGTCTTTTATAAAGAAAGCCCAATAAACTGCTTTGAGTTCACTATTCATTTATGTATCCTTTGTGTTTACATTTTTAACTAGCTTCATTTACAAGCTATTCATCCTGTGAATAGTGCTATAGCCTGGAACAGTAAAACTTGGATTTTCACTATCAATTTTCTTCTATTCTATGGGATACTGAGCATTTACAATTCTTAGTGACTTGAGTGGGTCATATAGATGTCTCAGCCCCTACCTAGCATGAAATCCTGTGCCTAACTATGTGGATATAGAGCTAACTATATTTCACTGTTTCAGGCAGGTGGGTACATTAAAGTGCTCTACGTATTAAAGAGCCCGCTATATTGGGATTTATGACAAAACTGGTTTAAAATAAGGTCACAGCTATTTTCCTGGAGCATCTGTTTTTGAGAGGTGCTTGGGGAGCCCATCAAAGTTGCTGGCTGGTGTAGCTCACTCTGCATCATCAGAATTCTGGTATTGTAGAGGAATTATCCTCATGGGTGCAAATCTTGTCCTTCCCCCCTCATGGGTGCAGTCAGAGGTCCCTCTCCTGGTGGAACCAGTGCAAGTTCTGCTATGCCAAGGAAATGGGATTTGAAGAAGCCACTCAGAGCCTTCTGGGTGCTGGAGCAGGTGGAACTAGATGCAGGGCAGAGCAATCTGGAGAATGGGTGGTGGGCAATAATTTTTGTAGAGAGGGCCGCTTCACCAATTTTGGTAGTGGTCCTCAGGTGGAAGGGTGGGGCCTAGGGCAGAAGGGATGTGCCCCTGGTAGGGTTGGGGGGAAGAGGAGACTTTGCCTGCTCTCCCTGAGGGGTAAGCGAGCACGTGAGATCTTGGTCCCTGCCGTGCCAGAGGCGCCCGGCGCCCAGAGGGAACTGCCAGCCGTTTTGATCAGCTGGCTATTCCCTCTGGTGCCATGTACCCTTGGCAGAGGGAGGAGACTTCGCATGCACCTCTGCCACCAGGGGTGTCCAACCAGCTCTGAAGCAGTAGCTGCTATAGTGTCTGCTGCTATAGCGAACTAGCCACACTCAATTGGCCAAATAGCCACATGTGGCTAGTGTTTTGGATATCATGGACATAAATGCTCACAATCACACCTGTAAAGAAGATACATAAAAATTATCCCCACTTTCCCGACAAAGTTAAATGATGTCAAAGTGTCAGGATTAGAACTCCGCTGCTGTTGGCTTCTAAAGATGTCCTCTTAACCATACTACTTGATAAATGGGCTGGTGGGGACTTTACCTACTTAATAAACACTGAAGGTGCTAACAGCTCCCTGTGTGGTATCCTTCCTGTTTTAAGAATCTATCTATTGACTTTGAATTTATCTGCTTAGGTTTAAGTACCCATTCTCCAGATACTTAATGATGCTCTGTCTCTCACCCCCTTCCCTTTTTCTTTCTCTCCCCCCTTCCCCTTCCCCCCTCCTATTTATTTTGAGTTTTCATATCCCCAACTCATAACTCCGGTCCTCTGAAGAAGTGGGTTGTGCCCATGAAAGCTCATACCACCATCTACATGTTTCGTTAGTCAATAAAGTGCTACCAGACCATTTGTTGTTTCAATCTCTTTAGTGAGGCATTGGTTTTACAAAATCAGCATCAAAGACCTATCTTGGACATTTAGGGTATATCTAAGGCTTTTAAGGCTCCTGCATACCATCTAGTCCCTCTTGGACATTTAGGGTATGCACAGCAACGTTATTTCAAAATAACTTAGTCCGTGTCTACACTGCAGGCAGTTATTTTGACATTTCAAAATAATGTCAAACTGGAGGATGACTTACTCCCGACTCCTGTAACCCTCATTGTACAAGGAGTAAGGGAAGTCAGAGGAAGAATGCTCTATTTTGAAATAAGTGCTGTGTAGACGCTCCCAACTTCGAAATAAGCTACTCAATTGACACAACTTGAAATAAGCAACAAAAATTGAGCTAAGCCCTGCTGTGTAGTCGTTCTGGCTGTATCTGCAGCAGGAAGGCTGATTTCCATAAGAGTTTGTTTTCTCTCCAGATAGTCCTCTCCTTTACCTCCTGAATTCATATGTACACAAAGTAAAACACAAGAGTTTTGCTGTATTATGAAACCCATTGTTGCAAGACTTCTTCTGAATGGGGAAAGGTTTACGGCTTTTCTGGAAACTACATCTAGTGCCTGGTTGGGAAATAGAGTCCAACCTGTTAATTACAGAGAGTAGCTCAGTTGTATAATCAATATTTTGTTTCATTTTTTTTTTTAAATTCTTGAAAAGTCCAGAAGCTGGGCTTATTTTAAGGACCAGGGGTGGGGAATCTCAGGCCCCATGGCTTGCCTAGATTTGGCTCCTGAGGCTCAGCATTGGGGAGACCACACTGGCACTCCAGCCCCCTGCTACCCAACCGCAGGGCTGGAGCACACAAAATCTACTAGCCTCCCCCCCCCCAGGCTCTGGTGTGCAAGGGGAACGTGGGGAGTGTCTTTCTGCTTCTCAGGTCAGAGGCTTCTCATTTTGCTTCTCATGTCTGTGCAGCACCTGATTGATTTTTCTGTGGATCAGTGGCCCCTGACCCAAAAAAAGGTTCCCCACCCCTGACCTAGAGCCTGGTTTGGCCTTATACAGCTGTCCAGCTTGATTCACTTCTTCCTTCCTCTTTGATCTAGCCCTCAGACTTCAGTGACTCATACAGCCAAATCCAGCATTTAACATTTTTAAATATAAATACTCTCCGAGAAGAAGGCAGTTGGGACTCCTAAGCAAACATTGCCACAAAGTTCTTGCTAAAGAGCAAAACTTTAATGAGGCCATTTCCCGACATCACCAAGTCTGCTTGAGCTTCATGCGTAGTTCAATAGAGTCTGTGGACAGAATTGTCTGCAAATAGATGAACTGTAGCATGAGGCCTGAAATGCTTCTATTGAAAAAATAAGTGGGCTCAGAATTCAAGCCCGAGGCATTTCCTTTTAGACTATGCAGCATGCACATAGACACCTCTGTTAGAATTTTGTTTAATTAGTTATTGATCATTGACGTTAATAGCTGCATGGAGGAGCATAGAGACATGAATAGTATCCAATGTTCTTTTCATCATAGCTACAGATACCATTAGACGTAAGCGGTTGCATTCAAATCTAATGCCTTTGGTGTTGAGTACAGTTTAACCCTAGGGATGGCAAGTCTGCACTAATTGAATCTGATCAGAACCTGCATACTAGATTTTGCATATAACCCCTGTTAGTTCTCTGTACTCTGTATGATGCTAATAATTGAGGGTGTAGATAACATTGCACGTAGGGATCTAAATGGTTGTTTAAAAAGTTAACTGGTTAAACACTGTGTTTAACTAGTTAACCAGGGAGTAGCCCTCCACCCACGGTGTGGCAGCTGTGGCTGGCTGGAGTAGCCGACCGTACTGTAACACGAAGGGGAGTAGCTCCAGGCCATCCAGGCTGCTCCAGCTAGGTTGGTCTGAGCCTGTACTGTGGGTGGGGAGGAGATCCTCGGGCTGGGCTCATTGCACTGCAGGGGTCAGGGAGGCTGCTTGGGTTGGGCCTGTTGCACTGCACTGTGGGGGGCCTGCTTGGGCCAGGCAGGGCCCATTGCACTGTGGAGGCAGGGGGCTGCTAGTGCCTCCTGTCCTCAACATAATGGACTCAGCTGGGCTGGAGCAGGCCCCTGCCTGATTTGGGAGAGGGGGGCTGCTCCAGCCTGGCTGGGCTGCTGGTTAACCAGTTATTCCTTTACATTCCTAATTGCAAGTTGTTTGTCTGGGTCAATGTGGTCTTTGCATTAGCATTGCAAGTCAAAAACATACCACCATGCAGTGTGGAACAACAGGTTCCATTCTAAGGGCTTGTCTTCCCTATGCTGGAGATCAAACTGCAGCGATCGATCCACTGGCCGTCATCTTATCACATCTACTTAGATACGATAAATTGATCTCCGAGCACTCTCTCGCTGATACCAATACTCCACCAGGGTGAGAAAAGTAGCAGCGTCGACGGGAGAGCAGCCCCTGCCAATCTTACCACACACAGGACTCTGATAAATATGTCTACTTCATTTATGCTATTTGCATACCTGAAGTCATGTACATTAGATCAACTGCAGAGGTTAGTTTTAAAAGTCAGTATTATCTAGGATTTGCAAGGAGCAACACTAATATCAAAGGAATGCTCTAGCAGAAGTCTTGGAAATATTTACTTAGCTTGCTCAGTTAACTAATTCTTCCAAAATCAATTGAGCAGGGAGGACAGGAAATCACGACAGTCCTAATTTTCACAGGTTCAAGGCCCAAAGGCCTGTAAAATGTTTAATCTCACATTAATTGTTACATAATGTATGTAATCTACCCATTTCAAGGTATTTCACCAGTAAAATAACCCCTATTCTCTGTTGTTTATCGCTGCAGGTCTCAACATTTGCACAAGGGGAAGTGCTGCCTCCTGTGAAGAGTGCCTGCTCATTCATCCAAAATGTGCTTGGTGTTCCAAAGAGGTATGTACCTACCTAGTCTGTCTTTTCTGTGTCTTTTGTTTGTTATAATAAACTGCTAACTGCAAAGCAGAAAGACAGACTTGCCTGGCTTGGCTCTAGCCTCTTCCCAGAATCAACTTCTACCCAAAAAAAGATTGGTAAAGAGGAGGCGAGTTCCTCCTTTTTAGAGTGCCGCACACACATCATCTATAAGTTCTTTGGCAAACTGAAAAGTGAATCAACTTCTCCATGCATCTTAATATACTTGCACTCTAGCATTGGCTTAGTGCAGTAGCCTATCAGGGTCAGTTACTGCTTCGTTGAATTTATCCAGTACCTCATTTCCAGACTGTGTGTTCCCGAATGTTGCACTACAGGTTGGACCTCCCTGGTCTGGCACCCTTGGGACCTGACCAGTCCTGGATGAGGGATTTTGTCTGACCAGGGGAAGTCATTTTCATCCTCCTCCAGTCCTGTAGACTGGAGACTGCTGCTGGCCCCACTGCCCTGTGGTCCCCAGTGGGCTTCCTGGTTCTTCTGGGCAGCCCAGCTGCGGCGTGCCAGGCTCCTGGCCACACTGATAACTCGCTTCCAGTAGCCCATTGCCCTAATAGCTCACAGGGCTCCCAGCTGCCAGCCCTCCATCAGGGCACTTTGGTCTGGCAACATCCGTGATCCAGCAGGAGCATGGTTGGTGCCAGACCAGAGAGTCCCGGTTTAGAGAGGTTCATCCTGTATTTGTATTTTTTTTTAACACAATGTAATATGAAGTTCACATAATCAGTCTCTTTTACTGGAGTTATAATGACCATAGTAACTGGCATTTGACTTGATGTTTTAGAAACTAGCTACACTTCTGCAAAGCCTGGAAAGAAGCTGATTGTGCACTTGGCCATAGTTTTCATAATGATTACACGGTGCCAAGGCCGGGTGGTCAGATCTGTGATTAGTCAGCTTCCAGACTTCCTGTATGGACAGAAAGCATTGGATCTCTTCCTTAAAATAGAGAGAGAGCATAAAGAAGGGTTGCAGAGTGCTCAAAGGTTAGGTGCTGTGTTAGGGAAATCTAGAGCAAGATTATGTCTTGCTCAATATACCCTCTTAGACCTATGTTTAGGCTAAATGCTTGGAGAGGTTACAGAGAAGGGAGAAGAGTCGTTTTGGCTGGGCTGCTGCTTCCCTCTGCCATGCAGGTGGCAGGTCAGAACTGGGAGTCTTTGACCAGCCCTTGCCATGTTCTGTTCTGTATAGCTGAGCCAGCATGGAGGAGGAAGTAGTCTACATCAGATAAAGCTCAATTCTCCTCCTGGAGCAAGGGTGGAGTCAGGGAGAGAATTATTGCGATTCTCCACATCATCTGTTCCTGGGGCACTGCAGGTATGTGCTGCCCTTTGTACAGGACAGATTGTAAAGACCATAAAACCTAGTGGTACACTGTCTTGTGTCCACATTTACAGTGGACTAACATGGCTACTCCTCTGATGTTTGTTGCATTTGCAGTGCCTACTTATAAACTACAGGCAGTCCCCGGGTTACATGGATCCGACTTACGTTGGATCCCTACTTACAAACGAGATGAGGCAACCCCGCACTAGCTGCTTCCCCCCAGCAGACCAGGGAGACGTGGAGCGGCTTTTCTCAGCAGACACCTCAGCTTGAAAATAAAGGACTGAGGGAAGTGAGGGGTGGGAGAATAAAACTGAGCTCTGGAGAAATGTTTGGCTAGAGTTTCCCCTACAATATGTACCAGTTCCGACTTACATACAAATTCAACTTAAGAACAAACCTACAGTCCCTATCTTGTACGTAACCTGGGGACTGCCTGTACTTAAGCAATAATTTAAGGATATCATTTTATTATGTAGTGTCCTAAATTGTGCTTAAGACTAAAACAAGAAGTGAGATCCCTGCTCTACAGGGTTTATACTAGGGATGTGCTAGGATATATGGTTAAATGGTTAACTAATGACAAATAATATTTGCAGAATTTTTAAATATTATGCAGAGGTTTTTTTTGGTGCAGAATTATTATTATTTTTTTGCTCAGGAGTACTTTTAGCAGTGTGTGTCATTCCCAACAGGCTTTCTGCGGGAGGGGTAAGACATCCCTGAAACAGGGGAGAGGCGGCTAAAGAATCCCATAACTCTGGGTTTTATGCCACTTTCCATTTACTGGGTTGCAGTTGGGGAAGCAGAGGTGCAAACCTGCCACTCGAGGGAAAGAAATCAAGTTTTGCAGGAGGAACCTTTTGTTTCCATTCCCCTATAGGCCCTCTTCATCATTTTCGTGCATCTTATGCAGTCATTTATACCACTGCAAAGTGGGTTAAAATATAAATAGCTCAGCACAATTGCATGTGTGTTATACCCACTCTTTACTCGCTTTGAACCAATGTAAGTGAGCTCATCATTACATGTGCCTTGTGTACCTGATGGCATGTTTCACATTAGTGGGATGTGCAGGTATATGAGCCTCTGATGTTGTGGCTTATGTAGTTAGTTCCTGTGATGGCGTTGCTTGTATAGAAGTGTGGACAGAGTTGGCAACGAATAGTGTTTCCTCACCTCCTGTCCCCTAGCGCCCCTCCTCTGCTTATGCTGCATTAATGACATCATATGGATGAGAGAAGGAAACCCTTGAAGCATTCGACAGGATTTCAACAGTTTCCACCCCACCATCAACTTGAGCCTGGACCAAGTGGACACACAAGAGATCCACTTCCTGGACACTACAGTACAAATAAATGATGGTCACATAAACACCACCCTACACGGGAAACTTACTGACTGCTATTCTTACCTACATGCCTCCAGCTTCCATCCAGGACACATCACATGTTTCATTGTCTACAGCCAAGTCCTAAAATATAATCAGATTTGCTCCAATCCCATAGACAGAGATACCTAAATGGTCTTTATTAAGCATTCTTAAAACTTAAAATACCCACCTGGGGAAGTGAGGAAAGATTGAGAGAGCCAGAGAAGTACCCAGAAATCACCTTTTCAGGACAGGTCTAACAAGGAAAATTACAGAACACCACTGATTATCACTTACAGCCCTCAGTTTAAACCCCTCCAGCACGTCACTGACAATCTATAGCCAGCTTCAGAGGGGTTAGTCTGTAATCTATAACCAAATCTGGAAAATGATCCTTCATTCACAGACCCTGGGAGACAAGCCAGTACTCACCTACAGACAGCCCCCTAACCTGAAGCAAATACTTACCCACAGCCACACACCACGCTACAGATACTTACCCAGGAACCTACCCCTGCAACAAGCCCTATTGCCAACTCTGTCTGTAACCACCACCAGGGAGAGTTGAACCTGGGACTTCTGGAGCTTAGTACAGGAGCCTCTACAGCATGAGCTAGAAAGCCAGCTGGCTCTCAGCTTAGGCTGTAGAGCTCCTTTCTTTTTTTATCTCTTGCTGTAAGTGGTCTAAGTGCCACTACTTGGGACAGCGAACCACATTAGGCATGTGGGTTACATGTCCACATATCTGTATAAGCAACACCATCACGGGACCTAACCCCAGAAGCCATCACATCGGGCTCATACACCTTCGCATCCCATAATGAGGTATATGCCGCCAAGTGCCAGCAATGCCCCTCTGCCATATTGGCCAAACTGGACAGTCTCTATGCAAAATGATAAATGGACACAAATCAGACATCAGGAATGGTAACATGTAAATCTGTGGGGGAACATTTTAAATTCCCTGGACATGACTTAATTAGCTTCATTTACACTGGTACTACAGTTAACAGGTAACTTCTTTTGCTGTTTATATACACATACGGGGCTCGACAAATCCACTTATCTACTCGCCTGTGGTGAGTAGATTTCAGCCGGTCGCCCCGTTCACCGGCGGTTTGCGCATGCGCAGTGTGGGGCTGGCAAGTGGTTTTTGCCGCGATCGTCGAGGTGTGTGGGTGGGTGTGTTTGTGTGTGTGTGTGTGTATATATATATATATATATATACACACCCACACACAGAATTCTGTAACTTATGTTCCATTTCTTCTGATGAAGTGGGTTTTACCCACAAAAACCTATGACCTAATAAATTTGTTAATCTCTAAGATGCCCCAGAACTGCTCATTGTTTTTAAGTTACGCACTAACACAGCTACCCCTCTGAGACTTTTAAAAATTGTTATAGTTTTCATGCCTCTCCAAAAGAGTGAAAAATATATGTAGGGAGAAGGAATGTGCAAAAACCTCTGCATTTGAGACATCTTGTATACAGCTGCAAGAAACTATTTCAGCCAAGTAATCCGTGGTGATGATTTTAGAATACAGGAATGTTGTCTATTAAACTGTGGGTATCCAATAGGCTTTTTTTTTTTCTTGGCATAGAAAGGCAATTTTTGAACAACTCTGCCAATATAAATGTTTGTTTGGTAGTCGGTGTGACTGTTAATTGTAGGTCAGTTTTTGGCACTAGTGTTGTGATATTGCATAGCAAGTCATAGATTTTTTTATTTTTATTTTTAAATGATTTCCAAATAGAATGTGGGGTGGGGAGGAGAAAAATCTGTTTGCAAGAGAGAAATACATTCTGAGGTCTAGATTGGAGCAGCCATTTAAATAACCATTTCCAGGGCTCGACAAATAATACAAATCTACTCGCCCAAACCTGACTCTTCCGGGTTGCAATCTGCGCATGCACGGATCGCCGGACAACACGGCTGGCGAGTGGGGCTCGCTGCAGTTCGGCGAGCACTGACCATTTCAAACTTTTTCTTTGCAGCTACCAATCAGAATAATGGAATAATAAACTGGCCAGTTAAGAACCACGTGTTTCTAAAACATAGTTGTTGTTTTTTTAACTGCATTATAAATGTCACCTTGAATTATTAATTCTTAAAAAAATCTAAAAAATGTTTAGATTATCTAACTTTTTTCTACTTTAAACAATGATGATATGGTTGTCTAGTCAGTTTTACTTTTGTATTTTCATTAATTAGATTCATACTACCAAGGAATACAGGTTTTAAACCAAATATGGCTTCATG